ATAATGTAACTTTTCTCTAAGTCTGAAATCACACAAGAAAACTTATCTTATTCATTTTTATTTGTTGAGACAAGAGTGTCACTATGTAGCTCTGCCTTTCCTTGAACTCAGAACTGCCTGCTTCTGCTTCCCAAGTGCCAGGATTACAGGTGTGCACCACCATACCTTGCCTAGTCTATTCATTTCAATGATTCATGCCTAGGACTTAACTCTAATGAAATAATTAGCACTATTTTAGAAGACTCTGAAGGAAAAAAATCTCTTAGCTGTGTTACTATAGCAAATGGAAAAAGTATCCTAGAATCTGACAGCTGGTAACTGACTGTAAGTAAAAACTGTAGTACAGCCAAGGAAAATAAGATAGTAAAATTCTATTTTTCTACTATAGGTTCATGATACATAAAGTGAGCAATGCGCTAGGTTAAGAGATTAACATACAGATATTTTAATACTCCTGGCTGTTAGGTTATTATATCAAAGGGTCACTGTCTTTATAAAGTAAAAACAAGATAGGAATCACCTCATGCAGTATGACTTAAACATTCTACCTAACATAATAAAAGCCAGCACTCTGGAGGCAGAGGCAGGAGGATCTACAAAGTGAGTTCCAGACAGCCAAAGCTATTACACAAAGAAACCCTGTCTTGGAAAACCAAAATACTAGTAGTAATGATGATGATGAAAAAAAATCACAGTAAAATTACAAATGACATGTTTTGCATAGGTAACTTAATAATGTAGGCAATCTATGAAACAAGTTAAGACTTATGGTGGCTTTGCCTATAATTTCAGCACCTGGAAAACTGAGGCAAGAAGGTTGTGCCAGATCTTGTTATCAATAAAACAAAAACAGGCTGGCATAGGCCTATAATTCCAGCAGTTGGGAAGTAGAGGTGTAGAGGGAAAGCCTGTATAGTGAGATCCTTTCTCAAAACCAGAAAAAAACAACCAAAGAAATAGACAAAAACACTCCCTATGATAAAAGATACATAAACAGCAATAATAAAAACAAACAAACTCTTTAAAAAATTATAGCAGTAGGGTGTGGTGGCCCTTGCCTTTTATCTCAGTACTTGGGAGGTACAGGCAGATGGAATATACAGTGTATATATATTCCAGGATAACAAGGGCTACACAGAGACCCTGTCTCAAAAAACAACAAACAAAAACACAAAAGCAAACCACCTCTGTTAAAGATACCATGAAGAAAAATGAACTGGGGCTGTAGCTCACTGTAGAGTGCTTGCCTAGCACGTTTAAAGCTGCAGGTTTCATTCTTAGTACTGAACAAGAAAAGCTAAGGACAGCAGAGATTTTTATCTTTTTTATTTGTTTGTGTAGCTCTGGCTGGCCTGGAACTTGCTATGGGCTCATGCTTGCCTCCAACTGAGGCATATTTTGAAGTGGAACTGTATTTTCTTATCCTATTTACCAGTTCTCCTCCATTACTTCCTGTTTTTATGGAGAAGGTAACAGAAGCAGGAAGTGACTTGCTGAGCTCACAACATGGTTTACCAACTTTTGGCCTTAAATCTTCAACGCAAAAATATTAGTTTTAGAAATCTTTTTTTTTTAAATACTTTATTTAACTTTATTTTATGTGCGTTGGTGTAAGGATACCAGGTTCCCTGGAACTGGAGTTATAGGCAGTTGTGAGCTGCCATGTGGGTGCTGGGAGTAGAACCCAGGTCCTCACGGAAGAGCAGCCACTACTCTTAACCACTGAGCCATCTCTCCAGCCCCTAGTTTTAGAAATCTTTTAATTAAAATCTTTAATTTGTGTGTGTTGAGCTTCAGGTATGTGTGTTTGTATATAGGTCAGAGAAAAACTTGCTAACCTATACTCTCCTCTTTTTCATGGGTTCTGGATCTGACTCAGGTCATCAGGGTTTTGTAGCAACTGCTGAGCTATCATATTATCCAAAAATAAGAAACTTTTAAAAGAGTTCATTGGCAGTATCATGCTTGCCAAGTGTGCTGGTGAATGCCTCTAATCCCAGGCCCCTGGGGGCAGAGTTTCAGGGCCAGTCAGGACTATAACCCGATAAAAAAAAAAAAGTCTGTCTCTCATGCTCTGACTGATGAAGCTACACACTAATATTGCTCATTATTAAAATGTTCAATCTCAGATTAGCCTTTTATTTTAATTTCATGTTTGACCATGTGTCATTGGCCCAGGCTGGTCTACAATTTGCTATGTAGCCAAAATAACCTTCAATTCCTGATCCTTCTGCATCCACTTCCCAAGTGCCATCACACTCACAGAAGACTGACTGGTTATTTTTGTTATTGTTGCTGTTTTTTTAAGACATTGTCTCTCTCTATATAGCCATGGCTGTTCTGGAACTCACCCTGTAGACCAAGCTGGCCTTGAACTCAAGAGATCTGCCCACCTCTGCCTCCCTAGTGCTGAGACACCATGTCTGGATTGAGACTGATTTCTAACGGTGTCAATGACATCTAATAAATATTCTACAACATAAGTGACTGAAAGCCACATGTAGCTTGGAGTACAACAGAGACAGAAAGCTACACTCACGACTATCACCTGTCTGTGGAGAATTGTGTCTAGGACACCCCAACACATACCATACCACAATCCACATTGGGATGGTGTCCCTTATATAAGCAGAATGACAAAATTTTTAGGGGTTTTATGCCCTTTACCCCGAAGATAAATTATCCTGGGGGAGGGGTGTTAAAGAATATAAAACCTGAAAGAAAATACAGGTAACCCCAAAAAGTGGAAAGAAAAAGCTCCAGAACTTGGAAAGTAAATTCTACCCAACTGTACTGACTTCTGAATTCTGCATGCCTCCTGAGTGCTGGGACTAAAGGTATGCGCCACCACCGCCCGAGCTGCCTCAAAATTTTAAAAAGGGTCTAGAAGCCAGGAGTGATTACACACTGCTTTAATCCTAGTACTTGGGAGGCAGAGGCAAGAGGATCTCTGTGAGTTCAAGGTCAGCCTGATCTACAGATCCAGTTCCAAGAAAGGCTCCAAGGCTACACAGAGAAACCCTGTCTTGGAAAAGAAAATACAGAATGAAATAAAGAAAATGTTTTTTTCTGCTGGGCGGTAGTGGCACACACCTTTAATCCCAGCACTGGGGAGGCAGAGGCAGGAGGATCTTTGAGTTTTAGACCAGCCTGGTCTATAAGAGCTGGTTCCAGAAAAGCCTCCAAAGCCACAGAGAAACCTTGCCCCGAAACCCAACACAAATTTTTTTTTTTCCTTTTCGGTCATCTCTAAACTTGGAGGCTGTGTTTTATATCCGAGATAGTGCTACAATGTTGTTTCTACAAGTTAAAGTACTGTAAAATCCTAATCCTAAATATTGTCTAAGGAAGAGAACAACTATTGCTTTAAGCCCAGCATTTGAGAAGCAGAAGTAAGGGTATTTCTCTGACTTCCAGGCCAGCCTGGACTATATAGTGAGACCTTGTCTCAAAGGGTAAAAAAAAGTGGCTGGGCTGTGGTGAGGAACATCTTTAATTCCAGCACTAGGGTGGCAAAAGCAGATGGATCTCTGTAAGTTCAAGGCCACACTAATTCCAGGACAACCCAGAGAAATCCTGTCTCTCAAGGGGTGGGGGTGTGGTGGTGGAATATAAATCTGTCCACAGAAGGTATATAAAGATGCTTTTAAAACATTACAGGTAACATCTTAATACAAACAAAGGAATAGGGAAATGGTATGGACTAGAATCTCTCTTCAAAGAACTGAATATTTTCTACTATCTTACAATAAGGCAAAGGCAAAGTCAAGATACAAAATCATATGCAGTTGAAACACTGTTAACAACTTTTTAAAAATTGTTACAATAAATATAAAATTCCAGGCAGGTATAGCCTGTGAACTTCTGGCCTCATGTATGATCCTGTGAAGGCGATGACCATAGACTAACACATTTGTACTTGACAATGTCAAAAAGTTGGTTTCTCCTGACAAACACTGGAACAGATAACTAGGAACAAGTTTATACTTAACATACAAATATGATGTACACCACCAACTGACACAGAAATAAGGCTTAGACTTACCTTAGTAGAAGTTCTTTGGGAAGTTTTTTATTGATTACAGCTTCATCACTGTTTGAGAACATCTGTAAAATAAAACAAACCCAAAAACATAACATCAGGCAATAACATTTTATCATGTTCACAGTTAGGAGGCAATTTCCTCAGGAGAAAAGTTTAAAAAACAAAACAAAACAAAAAGGCAGGGGAACAAGCAAAATGGTTTAGGAGGTAAATGCTGCCAAGCCTGATGACCTGAGTTCAAACCATGGGAACCATAGTGAGGAGGAGAGAACTAATGGATAAAAGTTTTCTCTTACCTCCAACTCAATGGGATCCATAGTCAGATAGAACAGCTCCCAAGTATGGTAGGACAATACACCAGCTTCCTAAATTACCACAGCCTTATATCCATTCTAGTGCCTACACTAATCTAATAAATTTAGAGACCCCACCCCTCTAAACCCAGAGTTCCCTAACCTCTAACAGCAGAAGCCCCACCTTTCCAAAGTCCCAGCACAGGGATCAAGGGTGTGCACCACCACTGCCCAACGTCAGCCCTTTTTCTTAATGATATCTTTTTTTGTTTGTTTTTAAGAGACAGGGGTTTTATGTAGCCTTGGCTGTCTTAGAACTCACTCTGGCTGGGCGTTGATGACGCACGCCTTTAATCCCAGCACATTCGGGAGGCAGAGGCAGGTGGATCTCTGTGAGTTCAAGGCCAGCCTGGTTTCCAGAGGAGTGCCAGGATAGGCTCCAAAGCTACACAGAGAAACCCTGTCTAGAAAAACAAAACAAACAAACAAACAAAAACAACAACAACAAAAAAAGAGAACTCACTCTGTAGACTAGGCTGGCCTCAAATTCACAGACATCTGCCTGCCTCTTGTTAGTACTCAGGCATCTGTACTGGCCTGTCCTTGGGGTTCTAACAGGACACGCCCTCCGCTGCAGCCACCTGTGCACATTCACTATGTTCCCTTTTTAAAAGGCACTGCCCACCTCCCATCCTTCTGTGTCTCCCTCTCCTTTCTCTGCATGAACCCCATTTCTTCGAAGCTTTGCTTAAATTGCAACACCTCTGACTCCCAAGTGCTGGGATTAAAGGCTCACACCACCAGCGCACCCAGATCTTAATGGTATCTTTTGTTTGTTTGTTTTGTTCTTTGTTTTCCCGAGATGGGGTTTCTCTGTGTAGCTTTGAAGCCTCTCCTGGCACTCCTCTGGAAACCAGGCTGGCCTCGAATTCATGGCGATCCGCCTGCCTCTGCCTCCCAACCATTGGGATTAAAGGTGTGCGCCACCACTGCCCAACTTCTTAACAATTTCTTAACTGTACTTTTTTGTTTGTTTTCTTTTCGAGACAGGGTTTCTCTGTTGCTCTGGAGACTGTCCTGGAACTAGCTCTTGTAGACCAGGCTGGTCTCCAACTCACAAAGATCCACCTGCCTCTGCCTCCGAAGTGCTGGGATTAAAGGCGTGTGCCACCAACGCCAGGCTTTTAATGGGTACTTTTTGTTGTTGTTACATTCATGATTTTGATGTACTGCAAAACAACTCTGCATAGCTAAACTCTATATTTCCTCCTATATAGTTATTTTGAAATTAAGATCTCTAAGGGTCTTGGTACATTTTCAAAATATTTTGAGTTATTTTAGATCTCGAATTTCTGTATGAATTTGAGATTGAGTTGTCAACTTCTGCAAAAGTCATTGTTGAAAACTGTGACCAGTTAGTGTACCATACACACAGAATTGGAGGACACTGCTGTCTGATAATGAATGAGTTTTCCAAACTAGAAACATGGATTATATCTCATTTATATACCTTGATTTCTCCCAATAATTTTGATAGTTTTTTAGTACATAAGCTTTTAATATTTCTAAAAGTATTTTATTCTTCTTAATGCTACTGTAAATCGATCAAATTCCACTCTCGGATTGCTCAACTCTAGTACACACAACACATCATCTTTCCATCCCTTTGTTTTCAATCTATTTGTGCCTTTGAGCCCAAAGTGTATCTTTTCTACATAGCATAAAGTTCAATCTTATTATCTAATCTTACAACCTATGCCTCACAATTGTAGCCTTGGCTGACCTGGAAAACATAGGCCTGACTCTGTCTCCTTAGTGTTTGTACTGAAGGCAAGTGCCACCAAGCTCAGTTACAATCATTAAAGGCAAGTACCACCAGGCCCAACCAGAACCTATGCCTTTTATTTTATTTTATAATTTTTGTTTGTCTTCCAGACAGTTTATCTGTAGCTTTGGAGCCTGTCATAGAACTTGCTCTGTATACCAGGCTGGCCTTGAACTCACAGAGATCCATCTGTCTCTGCCTCCAAGTGCTAGGTTTAAAGGTATGCACCACCACTGCCTGGAGAACCTATGCCTTTTGACTGAGTGTTTAAAATATTTCTAATTGATTAGGTATGTCTCTCAGACTACTTGTTTTCTATATGTCTTATTTTATTTTTTCCCACCTCCTGTGATTCCTTACAGAGCCAGAATGGCTTTCCTCCGGCATTTTCTCTTGTGGGTTGTGTCTAATTTCGTTACCAGCTTCCACAGCACTCAATGGCAATTGGTGATTTTGCTTTTTTGTCTAGAATTTGCCTGATGCTCAGAGGTAGAAGACAAGGAAAGCAAACTGCCTCAGTCACACCCGGATGGCAAAGCTGGGCAAAGTGTCTCAGTTTTTCTTTCTATCCTGCCCCTGGCTGTCCTGGAACTGAGAGCTACCTGCCTCTGCTTCCTAAGTGCTGGGATTAAAGGAATGTACCACCATCGCTTGGCTTTAATTTCTTCATTTAAAACATTAACAAAAAAATTTTCCTAATAGTTGCTCTAGAAATTTGAATATGTATTTTAAGTAGCCACAACATACTTCAAATTGTTTATTTCCTATAAAATACAAAAACTATAGTTTTTTGAAATTATATATTAATATTTTCTGTGATTGTATATTAATCTGATAAACCCCAAAATATAGTTCTTAATTATGCAACTCTCTTTCAATTCAGCTAAGATAATAAAAGAACAATTTATTTATAGTCATTTATATTTACCTCTGTAACTAACATTCATAGTGTTTTTTTTCTTCGAGTTACCATCTGGTACCGTATCCTTTGAGCTTGAACAACTTTGAATAGTTCTGTAAGGCAGATCTGCAAACAACAAATGTCTTGGTGCTTGTTTGTTGGGGATTAAAAATTTTTTTTCCTCTGATATTTTGTGTTTTTGTTTGAATGTTTAAAACAGGGCCTTGATTTATAGCCCAAGCTACCCTTGAACTCAGATGCCTCAATTTCTGAATAACAATGTATCTGGGTTCTCTGGAGGAACAGTATCAGTAGAAGGTCTGTGTATCTCTGTATATATTCTTGCTGGGGATTATTAGCATGTAGAGATGATGTCCAAAAGCCCAGCAGCTCTGATGTCCAAGGGTATGAAAGGGATGTCTTAGTTCAAGGAAGCGTGGGGCGGGACATACCAGAGAAATACTTATTTCTTATCTAAGTATCCCCAAACCCCTAAAGTTGACACATAAAATTAATCATTGTTATTGGCATCATTTATTAACAGGTAAGGACTCCACATCTCCACTCCTTCAACAACTTTTCTCAATTAAAAACCGCAACATTTATTCATTTCCATGTGTACAGTGGGAAGTGGGCATCATATTGCACACAGGGAGGTCAGAGGACAATTTGAAGAAGTTGGTTCCTGACTTCCACTATATGGGTCCCAGGGGTATAACTCAAGTCCCCAATTTGGTGGAAAGCCCTCTTAACTGCTAAGACATCTTGCTGGTCCCTATTTTTTTTATTTTTGAGGCAGGGTCTCACTGAGTTACCCAGCCTAGCTTCCTGATTCAGGCTCCTGAGGAACAGAGATTGTTTTTTGGCAATGTGTCACCACACTCACTCAAATAATTCTGACACCAACTTTGGGTTGCTGTTTTTTTTGAGACAAGAGTTTCTTAGTGTATTTTAATGTACTTAAACCTATTATGCTAGTACCGTCTTCCTAGTTCCAGAGTGTCCTCATCCCCTCAGAGCACTCTGTACCCACTAAGCAATCACTTGGGAACCCCATTGTCCCTTAGGATTAATCCAGAACAGCCACTACTTTTCCTCAGTCTATGAATTTCCCTAGACCTGGTTACTTCATGTAAAGGGAATCAAGCATGATGTGTTATGCATCACTGATCTCTTTTTATAATGGTTCTGAGATTTATTTACATCATTCTTGTTATCAGTACTTCGTTCTTTTCAGGTCCTGTGAATATACTGTTTTGTTCATTCAGTCATACTAGTGGTCACCCAGGTCATTAACAGGCCTTTGGATATTGTGAATACTGCTGCTATCAGCATTCTTTCTTTTTTCTTTTCTTTTTTGAGACAGATTTTCTTTGAGTAGCTCTGGCTGTCCTGGAACTCAATTTGTAGACTAGGCTGGTCTCAGACTCACAGATCACAGAGATCTGCCTGCCTCTGCCCCCAGAGTGCTGGGATCAGAGGCACACACCACCACCTGGCTGCTATCAGCATTCTTATATACCTATTTATGTGAATACCTATTTTTATTTCATCTATGAATGGGATTATGGTCATGTGACATTTTGATAAAAATTTTAAGTCATTAAATTGATTTCTATAGTAGCTGTATACCAGTCTACATTTCTATCACACACACACAAAAAAAGGATTCACATTTCTCTATACTCCTGCCTACACTTGTTAGTGACATAATATCCAGTGCTGGGGATAGAACTCATACTAGGCAAGTCTTCTACCACAAGCTCCAAACCTATTTAAATCATTTAATCTTAAATTGGGCTGTTCTATTGACTTGTAAGGGTTCTTTCATTTCCTAGATACTAAATCTTTATTTAAACATGACCATGACTTACACACAAATGCTCCCATTTTTTAAGGTTGTCTGTTTATTGTCTCAAAGGTCTTAATACACAAATCAGTGTTTCTGTTCTGTTGGTTTTGTTTTGTTTTTGAAGGAGGTTTCTCTGTGTAGCTTTGGAACATGTCCTGGAAGTCCATCTGTATGTATGTCTGGCTGGCCTGGAACTCACAAAGACCTGCCTGCCTCTACCTCCTGAGTGCTGGGATGAAAGACTTGCAAGACCATTGCCCCTTGTTATTTGTTTTTTGAGGCAGAGTCTCACTATGTTGCTAGGGCTGCTAACACATGAACTCAAAGTGATCCTGCCACCTCAGCTTCCTTAGTTGTGACTTCTGGCACATAACAACCAAGTCTAGCTAGAATTCTATTTTCTTTCTAGCAGTGCTGGGGTCTGACCCCAGAGCCTTACTTATGTGTTTAATGGCTCCACTGCTAAGCAACCGCCAACCCCACATGTCTTGTTGATCACACACCCTACCCCCCCACCCCCCCAAACACTGAATATCATCCAATTGTTTTCTGGCATTTCACTGTTCCTTTTGCTTGTCTCAGGCTAGGGATCCCACCACAGCCTCCCAAAGAATGGATATGGACACTCAGCACCACATCTGAATGGGTAGTATTTCTGATGAAAATCAACTGTTAACCATAGTGCTGTTCCTTTGTATATGAATTATCATCTTGTTCTCCAGATTTTGTCTTAAAGCAGTGTGATAACAATTTAGCCAGGTGCTGATAATTTTGCATTTATTCTACTTTAAGCTTGCTAAGATACTAAACTTTTAGTACAGATCAGTATTTTCAACTAGCAGGGCATGGTGGCACACACCTTTAATCCCAGCACTCAGGAAGTAGACTCAGGCAAATCTGCTAGTTTGAGGGTTGTTTGTCTACACACTGACTTCTAAGTCAGCCAGGGCTACTGTCTCAAAATAATAAATACAAGCATTTTCATCCAATTGTTGGACCCAGGCTAGTATTATTGTCAGTAGACCAAAGTCAGATGTAAGCTAAGTGTCCCTCTACAAATGAATGGATAATAAAATGTGTTAGATACATGCACGTGGAAAGTTTAAGATAAAAAGAAGCCTCCAAGATCCCAACTTTCCTAATGAGGGAGTACACTGAGGAGTTACTTGGCTTTGAAAGGTTGCACTCAGTGGGCTATGGTGTCCATGCCTGTAACACTGGGAGACAAATGCAGGAGGATCATGAGTTTGAAGCTAGCCTGGGCTAAAGGCTGAGACTCTATCTACAAAACCAAACAACAACAATAAAAACAAAAAAGACAAATCTGAGGAGACTATTCACTGGGGAAGGATCTTGCTATCCAAGCATGAGACCTTGAGTTCAAATCCCCAGAATCCATTTAAAGCCAGATGGGAAGTGTACCTATAATCCCAGCCCTTCAAGGTAGATAGATGGGAGGCAACAGAGAATCTCTGGGGCTCACACAACAGCCAGCCTTGTGCAGAGTAGCAAACAATGTAGATGGATGACACATAAATGCCCTCTGGCATTCCCAAAGGCACTGTGACACTCGCACACACCCCACACTCACAGATGACCGTAGCAATGGGCACACATACCATACTCATACATATCAGACACATAAAGGTTAAAAGATAAAAAAAAATTGTGCATGATAATGAACAATTTCCAAGGCTTGGCCCTAAGAAACTCTAAAGCACCTTCCGGAATCACTCCTGCTAACTCGTAAGAAAGTCTAGGCTAGACTTCAGAACAACAAACAATCACATGGAAAAACAGAGTCTCATACACTGATAATAAAGATAATAAAGACCTATCACACACTCCAGAAACAGTCAAGTTGCCAGAGGACTGCAGCCTGCTGAGTAACCTTTTAAAAAGAGAAACACAACTGCCACAGTGAACTAATTATTCTAAGCTGCTCAACGGTACTTTGTGTTAGACAACTACTACAAAAAATGGTTCTTCATTATAAAAAAAAAAATGTATGACTACTGGTCTCATTTTCATGGACTTGAACAAACTTTGTAACATCCAACAGTAGACTGGGACAGGTCAAATCTTAAGGCAGCAAGAACACTTTGGGGGAAAGAGTAAGACAATATTCTTAAAGAAAACCAGAGTTAAAGATGGAAAATTTTGCTTTGGTTTGGT